CCAGTTTGCTGCAGTTATGTTTGCATTCTTCTTTTCTCCTTATTACATTTGCCCATTGCTCTACTTCTGGCCTTATTGTTGCTTGAATTTACATTGAGCCTTACTTTTATTTTATTGAGATGAGTGATAACACTTTTTGTGGTTTATAGGTATGAACCAAAAAGGAAAATGGAGCGATTTACCCTTTTAAAATCGATACACGTTTACAAGAAACACAGAGTCCAGTATGAAATGAGAACATATTACAGGTGCTTAGAGGTAAGGCATTGCTACAGTATAAAGGGAGGATTTTCTTGTGCAAGCAGCCTGGGCTTCTTGGCTTTTCTAAGTCACCTTAAAAGGGTTTTGTGTCAATTTTATGAATCTTTCTAAAACTTCTGTTTTTTTCTTCTTTTTATATACACATAATATCCTTTTGTAAAATAGAGCCGTGACAGGATCGAGAGGTGAGGGAACCCGGTATATGTTCCCTCAGCTCCCGATCTACTGAGCCGACCTGTGACAGTCTCATTGTCACAGGTCGGCTACAACTTTGAGGTGAGTGGAGATCACTCATCTCATAGTTCTCCTTTAAGTAATAGAAGATCACTGGAACACTGTGTGTTACACACCACGATTCACTCTGAGGATGACAGGAAAAAACCCCAATTTTATGCATCTCTTGTATTGTGGTTGACAACTAGCTTGATTGTGGATGTTCAGAAAATGACCTTGGACACCTGGTGCATAGCAGAGACACATTGGCACACCATATGCAGTGCGTTCCAGCCCGATTCTGGCCGGAACGCAGTGCATCGCATTGTGGTGGGGCCAGAGGGGGCGTAGCGGGCCACTGAAGTGAATGGCACCGTTGCCACACCCTCCGCCTGCAATGCACATTGTGCCTGCGGTGCAATCAAAATAGTGCTTGCAGCATTTGATTGCACTGGACCGCAGGCACAATGTGCCTTGCGATCATGTGCGGGCAATCGCATTGCGGCCGGAGGGCGTGGCTACGGTGCCATTCACTTCAATGGCCCGCCATGCCCCCTCCTGCCCGGCAAAAAAGTGAGCCGGCCGCAATGCGAGGCAGTGCGTTCTGGCCAGAATCGGACCGGAATGCACTGCATATGGTGTGATTTAACCCAGAGGGGAATTTATCAAAACTGGAGCAGACAGAATCTGAAGCAGCTGTGTAAAAACGTACCCTTTGCAGCGAGGCTACACTCGTACGGCAAAGGTTAAGAGCAAGCCGGCTCCGAGGATCTGGTGAGTATAAATGCATTATTTTCAGCCCTAGACCAAAACGAGCAGTTAACCCTTGCAATACGGGGGTAGCCCCACTGCAAGGATTAATATTTAAAAAATGACTCCGAGTTCTTCTCTAAACTTTCTGATGTTCTCTGCATCTGTTCTAGACACCATTATTGAAGGAAATGGTCGTCTCCATGAAAATATAACTGCTCTTCTATGGTCTCCTCCTCTCCTATTTCAGCTGAAACACTTGACTGGGAGTACCGCGAATGTCTACCTAGAATATATACAGCGTAATGTCCCAGAAGGCGTTGCTTTAGAAATCACAAAAGTAAGCATTGCCGTTTTACCGGACCAATACTGCCTGAACTTCCAATGACTACACTTAAATGTATGAATTGTTTCTCTTCACAGACTAAGATTGAGAAGATACCAGATCATCTGAAAACTCCAGTATGGGACACACCGACAGCTGAGGAACAGAAAGAGCCATCTTGATTTTAAAAAGCTTTATTTAAATTGTCGTAATAAATTTTTGTCTTTTCACACTTTTGCTAGTTTGTTTTCCCCCCATAAAGGTATTTAGTGTTAAGAATGACTGACTGGCTCTTTGGTGACATCAGACACTTTTTAAGGGCTGCAGTTGGGGTGGGCTGTGATGATAAATATAAGGTGTCCCTCCCTTTTAACAGTTTTGCTGCCAGAACTTTTTTTTTTTGCACACGTTAAATGCAATTTGTAAGCTTTAAAATTGGTTCTAGCCAATATAAATATTTTCTGAAAGTGGAAAACCTGTAGAAAAAAAATGGTGGCTGTTGCAATTTTTTATGTCACAATATTATACTGGCACAAGTTTCAAACCCAAATTTTCACTAAAAAATGCATTAAAATTAATTCCATTGCACATAAACATTAGACTACCCAAATTTTTGGTAAAATATAAAAGAGGTTGTGCCGAGTAAATAGATATGCAACATCTCAAGCCTCAAAATTGTGTGCAACTGTGTATAATGGCCTTAGAATTATCGCTCTCTCCGACATGTGGGACGATGTCCAACACATGGAGCAAATGTTTTTAGACGTAACTGCACCATCCGCATGTGTTTCTGTTCGTATTTGCGTGTACGCATGGTGGGGGAAACTCTTTGAAAAAAAGGGTTTTTTTCATTTATTTTAACAAATATGGCATTTATGTGAGGGACGATGGGGGTAGAAGTGATCAGGTGGCTTTACAGCTGCCTGAATCACTTCTACATGAAAGCTGACAGTCGGCTGAGGGAGTGTAATCACTAGAGCAGCCATCAGTGTGTTTACAGCTCCCTGCTGCCACAGACGTACTACCTATATCCGCGGCAGCAAAAAAATTAAAAGGTAAGTACCATTTCATAACGTGAAAAAATGAACTCTTACAGAACTTAACTCACAGCACCGTGCCGCCCACCACCACATTTTATCCTTTCACAGGAGACAATGTGACCTTTCAGTTTTGCAAAAGAACCAGTCTTCCTCAAGGCATATTCATATCACTGTTGCTTTGATGAAAGGGTCCTCATGCAGGCCTTCAAAGTCACATGGTCTCCTATGACACAATAAAAGCTTTCTCTATTGGGCTACTTTGGTGTGCTGGTGATATTTGTATATTCGTTTGAATTGTGTGCAATGGTGCCATCCAATCACTTGCTACTTCAGCTTCCATTTAGTCTGAGTTTTTACAACGGATGTACCAAATGGCTCCCATTTTATAGAACAGATTTTAGGTACATGAACAGCTTTTAAAGTCTACAGTCCACTCTACCGAAGGGATTAATCGCATAAACAAAAATTGTGGAAGACTGCAGTCAAGGGCATTAAAAAAATGGTCTGTCTCTTTTGCTAAAAATAAACCTTGAATAAAAAAAATCTCCTGCAATAGTAAACTCTTACCTCTCCCGCTGCCTGCACCACTCTAATTTAAAATAGTCCAGGACAAGCAAATATTGTCTAAATACAAGCAGCATGTGTATTGCTTTGTGAATTTCTTCCATATCTGAGTGGTAATTCAGTGAAATTTTGACTCTGTGGTTCCTGTAATATAAACCAGTCCGTGCTGCTCTCTCTTTGTGCAGGGTGACTGGATCCCAGTTTTATGCACACTGCCTGTATTGGATGGGGCATGCAGGGTCTCCCCACAGTTCTGTCACAGCTATTTTACAAGGTAATGGCAGTTTGCAAAGTACTTTGGTGCATACAAAGTTGATTTATCCTTTGTGGTTATTAAAGAATATATTTTAGAGTGTTTGGATCTGGATTTCCACATTAAAGGGAATACATCACTTGAAGCCTCTTTAGAAGCTAACTTCTAAAAAGTAGGTCATCTGATTCACTGTACTGAAGAGAACTTTTCGCCTAGTGCCTACTAAGAAACCAACACTTTTTTAAATGTTAATCTCCTTGGTCCTCAGCTGAGCTCAGTGGTTCCTTTGGCCAATCCTACATCACTACATGACACAATAGTGGCATAGGGGCTGGCTGGAGGAACCACTGAAGAGACTTGAGTCAGATTTCCCTTTAATAGAATGGTGTAGGGCTGCAACAACTAATCGACATAATCGATTATTGAAAAAGTTGTCAACTTTTTCAATCATCGATTAATCGGCTTCTGATTGGTTGGCCCTGTTCACGGCTCCACACACGTTGCGCGCCACACCTCCCCACCTCACGCTCGCAGCTGCCAGACCCGCCCGGCCGCATCCACACGCAGCACCTCCCCCCGCCTCACGCTCACCGCACAGGGACGCGGGTAGAAGAAGTAAGGAGGAGCAGGTGTGGGCGGATGACAGACACCGATTGACAGGCCCGATCTCAGAAACAAGTTGCTGGAAGACTGCTCAGGTAAGCCTGCACTCCCCCACATGGTGCTCTATAATGTATTGCTGGGATTTGTATTCCTCTATAGCTGATGGTACATTCTGCTGTACTGTATATTATACAGAGCAATGTACCATCAGCTATAGAGGAATACAAATCCCAGCAATACATTATATAATGTATTGCTGAGATTTGTTGTATTCCTCTATAGCTTGTGGTATTCTGCATTGCGCTGTATAGAGGACATCAAATCCCAGCAATAATACATTATACAGCGCAATGCAAAATACCGCCAGCTATAATGTAGTAATGCTGGGATTTGTTGGATTCCTCTATAGCTGGTGCTATTCTGCATTGTGCTGTATAATGTACTATTGCTGGGTTTTGTAGTCCTCTATAGCCGGTGCCATTCTTCATCATTGCTGTATAAATTTTACATTTCACTATATTGCACCCCACATTTTTTTTTTTTCTTTTTTTACTTCCACCGCTCCAAGCTTGCTCCTGTGATGGACTGCAATCTCAATCCAAACTAGTAGTCCCATCACTAGAGCCATTTCTTAAAATGTATTTTTTTTTTTTTTATCCGATTAACCAATTAATGGAACTTAAGAATCGGCTAACTAATCGATTTTGAAAATAATCGTTAGCTGCAGCTCTAGAATGGTGTAAGCAGCGGGAGAGAGAAGTATTTTGTGTCCTCTTTGCAGGAGATGTTTTATTCAGTGTGTTACTTTAACTATGAGGCTCTATTAAGCTGGCCATACACATTTCTTTTGGGGTGAACGAAAAAAAAAAATCAAACAAGAGCCTTGCTAAACATTATAGATGAATGAATCTTCCCTGCCAGGCTATTTTATGCAGTAGCTGTATGAATACCCCCACTGACTGCAGCTGATTTGGCTTCAGTCACTGTTCACCCAACAATTTGCAGCCCAGCTCCTTCAATAAAAGCCAATTGAGCAAATCGACTTTTGCAGGCTGCCCACTGTCAGCATTTCAGTCAATTCCTTAGAATCAGATCAAATTCTAAGTGTCTGGTAAGCTTAACATTACACAGCAATGCAAAGGAGTTTAAATTATGTAAAAGGAGGCAAGTTGCTAAGGCAGCAACTATCTGACTTCAGGCCTATTACATGAAATGAGGCACCGACACAGTAAAGTTAAGGGGGTGGTGTGTATTATATATTTTATTATTAAACTCTCTGCTATCCGGTATTCAGCTAACCAGAAAAAAAAAATCCCTTGTGTATTCACTGTTCTGCTGATCAGCAGCATGTATTATCCTAGAAACGATTGTGTGCCTACTTGTCTTAATTTGTTTTAAGTGTGTATTTGCTTTTGATTGCTGCATTTCAATATTAATATGAAGTCAATTCAGAGTTTATGGTATGGGGTAACGTATGACATTAGACCTATTTTTAAAAGTAACTCAAGCGACCAGAAACTGCATTGATCCAGAATTTGTGTAAGTGTGTGTGTAAAATAGGACATATCTTGGGCAGGTAGGTCATATCCTCTGCTGCAAGCTTATTTTTTGCCTGGGTTCTACTTTTAAAGTAGTATTAAGCTCGCAAACTTTTTTTAAAATAATTCAGATCAAAACAAATATACATTTTAGGGCTGGTAATGATTAAAATTTTCTTGTTCGATTCATCAAAAAAAATTTTAATCGATTAATTATAACGCACATACAAATCCAACTACATTGGCCTATACACATACAGCACAGCAATGAAGTAATACAATGAACTAGGATCACACTAATCCAGCACGTTATTAATCTCATGTGCCCCACTCAATATGGCCGCCGCTTGACCTAGACGTCACCGGACTCCTCTTCCCTTAGTTAGCCGATGGAGCCACTTGGGGAAGGGGGGAGGAGTCCGGTGACGTCACCGGATCGCCGACGGGACTCCTGGAAGCTGGCGGTGAGGTGAGTGTTTTCATTAGCGATCAAAATAATTTTAATCGATTAAAAAGTTTAACGATTAATCGAGAAATTAATCTTTAATTTCCACAGCACTAATACATTTCCCAGCAAAGTGTTTCTTTACATTTTTGCACAAACAACGCCATCATACTTCCAAATAACTGGCTCCAACTCTCTCAGCTCTGCTCTCCTGAACTTCCTGGCCAGTACAAGCTCACAAAGCACAGAGCAATCTCTAGCAACTGTTTATTTACTAGCTTGGAGGAGGAAGCAGGAGAGTGGCTTGCCCCTTGTTTATGGAGACAGGCACAGCTTACTAGTGCACACACAAGGGTGGCCCCATATGACCCTGCAAAGGAAAGGAGCCTCCCTAAAACAGGGCATCAGGACCAGTGCCCAGGAGACCAGCTGATTCTGCAGGAAACAAACTTTTAATAATCAAGGAGCAGTATCTATTTTAAATGATTTTATCAGCAGTTGAAATGGTTTGAAAACCTTTTGACTTTAATCATCACTTTAAGATATTTGTAATATAATAGATTTTCAGACTCATATCAATGAAACCATTACTTCCTTTTATAACTCACCCTTACCCTACATTATAAAGCAGAAGTGTAATAATGCAGCAGTAAATTGAGCAGAGCAGAAGGGGGGTGCAGGGTAGGTGAGTAGGGGTGCCTGTGTATTGATTAAGCAATCTTCTGGTTATTTCAGTTTGGCTCTTGGTGGCTCTCTGAACCCCCCCCCCACCCCAAAAATAAAGTTTGTTATAGTGATGGGAACGTCAAATATTCACCCTCAACTCCTTTAACCCGTGTTTCAGATAGCATACGCATTAAGAAAGGTTTATTTTTAAAATTACAGTGTAAGCTTTTTAAATTCTGTATCAGGTGCTGGGCACATAATAATGAGAGCAGAGCTGCACTATATTTAATCTAGAGGATGTACCTCTATGTATGACTAAGTCTCCCCCCGCTTCCCTTTTATTCAGAATAAAACCTGTGACTGTGATTGCACACTAAAAGCCATTCTGACACTCTTAAGTAGTTCCATGTAATGGCAGCCTACAGCCAAGCGTTAACACCTTTTGCAAAGCTTAAAGGAAACCTGTAGTGAGAGAAATATGGAGGATGCCATTGTAAAAGAGAGGTTGGCAAAAGAGCTTTTGTACTTTTCTCATCACAAGTTTCTAACAGAGGGGGAAGAATCACACAATTAGAGGCATACATTGAGAGATGACAGCAAATCTCTGAACGTGGAGCCTTACCTGATAGCGAAAGCCCAGAGGACGAGCACACAGATTAAAAGAAAACAAATTAGTCACTCTCACCTTAAAAAAAGGTCTGTGGCAAAGTTCTTCAATGGTCTGCATACCATCTTCAATGTGCTTCAAAGGGTGACAATAATAGCATCATTCTTTCACAGGTTGATAGGGCACTAACAATAAGGCTTGATATCAACTTGCACAGCAGAGCGGGGACATGACAGAAGCTAAGACAGCCTACTGTGGCAGGGACAAGGCCGACTATTCATTTTTTATTTCAGATTAGAGTACACCCACTGCCTACACAACAGAGACAGCCAGTCATGATAATGCCCCACTTTCACTTCACCGGGGACATGACCGATACATCCATCTGGGTATTCTATAAAAGTGGCACAAAGGAAAATATGGTGAATTGTGAAAACAAAAGTTGGATTTTTACCGCGTTAACCCATAAAGGGCAAAATCCCCCTTCCTGAGTGCAGGCGGCAATCGCTTTTACTAACCTTCAGCCCCAATGCAGCGATCTTACCACCAACATGGGCCTAGCCGGCTCCTTTCACTCTGTATATGGATGCCATGGACTACAGGCTTAAAGAAGTCTACTCTGCTTACATAATAAGGAAATGTGGCTACCCCTATAGACAGCTATAATTTATAAACTATATCTGGAAACAAGATTTTCAGTACAATAAAGAATATATATGGAATTTATGCACATTGTAATTAACCAGATTTTCCTTGTTTCATTTCTTAGTTACTGATAAACTGTTGAAGGGTTAATCTTCTGTTATTATTTCTGTGTGGGAGATTAAGCCGAGATGAACTTCCTGTTTCACCTCATTGAAATGATTTTGCTATAGGGTTCTTGAAGAATCCAAGGACGCTGCCACTACCATCATCCAGCAACGAAGCCTTCTCCAGAGAAACACATGGAGGATGAACGTCAAGGAGAAGAAACAAGAGAGTTGCACTTTAAAGTGACACTAAACTGAGGAATTCTCAAAAATCCATTCAAGTATCTTAACTATGAACAAAAATGTATTGGGGGTACTTTTGTTCCCCATGGTCTTTGTGTGTGTTGTAAAGTAGCCACCGCTCCAAGCTGCCTCTCATGTTAGACTATCAGGGTTATTCACAAAAGGGTGAAGAGTTTGGAGAAAGCAGTGAACAATCTAGGACCACATCGCTGAACTGGAAAGTCACTTAAGGCATTTGTTCCAAATCAGCTATTTTGTCCTAGAATGGAGAAGTGAACAAACTTTTCACCCTTTTGTGAATAACCTTGTATAACTTCAATAAATATTAGTAAAGTGTGTCCATCATGAGGAACACAAGTAGTCACCCTCCAGAAGGAAGGACAGTGTCAGCACCAATTCAGAGATGATTTGAGGATCCACAGCTACAAATGTCATTTTATTCTATAGGGTCTTGGCATTCAGAAAATATATAATGTTGGGGGGTTTTACGTCATTTTCAGGCCTAAAATGTGGAATATAACATGGGTGCAAAAATGGAAAAAAGGGCCTCAGTCATGAAGGGGTTAATAGTTCAGGTACTTGAATTAATTTTTAAAATTTAACACGAGTTTAGTGTCATTTTAAGATAGCTGCCTTCCATGTGGAGAACAGCCAGTACCTAACACTGTTTTCACTTAGCTCCTACACAACATTGTTCCCATTGATAGTACAGCAAACAGAGCAAGTAAGGGGAAAATCACTATCAAAAAACAAGTTTTGTTTCTTTTAACTGACCTGCTCACCTAGAACATATAAAAGTCGCCTTTGCCTGCTAAAAAAAAGTTTGCAAACTGGAAGACTTTTTTTTGCAAAAGAGATATACTATGTGTCTCTTCTGCAACAAACACTTCTTACCTGCCTGCTTGCACACGACAGTAGAATGTACACCACACTATGCATGTAATCTCGGCATGCTTAGGTGCCAGGATGAATTACCTCCCGCATGCACAGGAGTTAAAGTGGACCTTACCCCCTTTGAATAAAAATCACATCAGCATACAGCTCTGCATGCTGATATGAAATCATCTTACATTCATTAGTTAAACATTTTTATTTTACTTTTTTTCCCCCTCACTTCCTGGTCCACCTTCACACAAATGATGTAATCTAGCACAAGCATTGCAGTGAAGTAGCAGTATGTACTGTGTTTTTAAAACAATCCCACATCTGGTCTGTGTTTAGGTTTTTTCCCCCTCACTTCCTGGTCCACCTTCACACAAAATGATGTAATCTAGCACAAGCATTGCAGCCTGGGAAGGTTATATCACCAGAGTATTGCTGGGAAATCTCATGAGATCTCAGGGAAAGGCATTTTCTTCCCATGAGATGATGTACATGGTCACATGTGCCAGAGTTCCAGGAAGTAAAGAGAGATCTAGCAACCTGCCCTTAATAAAACTGAGTAGAACGAGGAGAAAACCAAAAATAAGTTATGCAAAAAATAAAAAGCCGGCAATTACCTATATGTACGTGTTTGTAGATTGTCATTACTAAACATTACTAAAAGGTGCCTATGTTGTTATATTTAAAGTTCCTCTTTAAGCTATCTAGAGCAGGCCAATAAAGATAGCTGATGATGCCAAGCTGATGATGCCAAACCCAGCAAAAGTTGGATGTACCTACGAAGGAGCAAGTAAGTAATGCATACTTCAGCTGTACTTTAAGGTGCCCACCCCAAGATCCCAATACTCAGTCAAAGGTTTTTAAAACTGGACTGCATCATATGGCCAGTTTGGATGTAAAAAGTATTTAGCTGAATTTTCCCTTCATTAAAAGAAGCTTATTGTTGGCAGTTCAAAATGAAAGTGTGTTTTTAGCTAACAATATTACCACTTTTATAAAATCCCCCTGCCCGGAACAGAACAATAAAGGTTGGCTTGATGCCCTAATCTACTGCCTGTTACTATACTAGCACTACTGTACCGTAGTCATATCACAGGATGCAAGTGAAGAGCCAGGCTGCATTCTCACGGCAGTGTAAATCTGGCAACAAAATGCCTGCCTCCATTTTTGTGTAGACCGCAGGGACACTTTAAAACGAGGCCTGAACTGTGTAAGCCACCGAAAGCCAGTTTCCATTGAAATCAACAGCTATGCTACCGATTTATTTATTCGAATAGCCAAAAGTTCCAATTCACACATCTCTGAACGTGTATTGATGATTAAATGGTTATTCTTTAATTTTTTTGTCAGCGGTGTATTAGTTATAAGTTTGCAACACAAAAAAAAATCTTTAGGACACACCATCAGTAAAATGCTAAAAAAAAAAACATGTAAACTTGCTTATTAAAGAAAAAAATTAAAACTAAAAACACGAGTCCAAAACAGTTTTACATTTGTATTGGGGTAAAAAAAAATGAAAAAGTTATTAAACATGAAATACTGTTTTCGGCAGTATACATTAGTGTTACAATGTAAACATTGATTGATAACTGCAGAACTAAAAGAAAGGTAACGTTTTCAGAAATCTGAAAAAGACAACAGTCTATCGGTGTCAACTGCTTTATATCTGCTTCTCTCTGACTTTCTTATTCTTACTTATCACAGTCTGTGATCTGTTTTATTGGCTTTGGGAATTTAAGAACAAAGCCAAACTAAACGGCCTTCATTTGCGGTTCGGCCCTCAGCATAACGTATAAAGTAGGGCTCTCTTCAGAACAATGTACAGTTTACAGTATAACAGTACTGCTAAAATAAATTACGGTACATTAAAAAAAAACAATACAACTTGACACGTTTCAGTTTGCTTTTGCTCACATTATAAAAACACTACGAGAGGCAGTATACAGTTTTTGAAAAAAAAAATTAAATGAAATAGTTTTACAAGCATACAAATAAATCTGTGTGAACGATTTTAAATTTAGCCACAAATTGTCACTCTTCCAAAAGGTTGTAAGTAATGCAAATAAATATAACATGTGCATGACAGCCACTGTAGTATTACAGGTTACAGTTACACTACCCTATACAACTCAACAATCAAACCAGGTCAAGCTTTGTATACATAGTTAGGAAGAGTTATTTTGTCCTACTCCTAATAAATTTTAAAAAAAACTGCTTACAACATTCCAGATAGTTTTCACATAGCTTAGCGTTAACATCATTACATTTTAAAAAAAAAAGTATATATGACAAGTGTCACTTTTAGAGTGCTTACATTAAAAAAAAAAAGTATATATGACAAGTGTCGCTTTTAGAGTGCTTAAAACAGAAAATAAAAACACGGAGTAAAAAGCAACCGTTAAAAAACAAAAAAAGTTGCAGAGAAGTCCAATATTTAATTTATAAATTACATTAAATGCTTGACCCATCTTGGGATTTCTTTTCCCGTTGTGCAGCCAACGTCCACACTTTTATTTATGAAATACATGTTTGGTGAATTGTCCAAAGAGAAACTGTCTGTCCTATATAATGCCGTTTGGCCTTTTTTTTTTGTTTGTATGCCGATTAGCATGTGAGGGCTGTTGGAAAACTAAAAATGCTCATTTGGCAATGAAAACAAAAAAAGACAAAAAGGAAAAAAATCTCGCTCGCTCTCCGGTCAGTTAAAATCTGTAATGGATTCTAAACAGTGTGTCTCTTTAAAAGCGTCTGCCACCTGGCGGGACGGGCCATCGCTGGCCCCGGCCAGGTGGCGGAGGATGTGCTGCAGCACCGCGTCCATTGGGAAAGCTGTGTGGGAGGATAAAATCACAAGTGTTTGCTATATAGGAAACTGGATTAAAAATAGCAATAGAAATAAAAACACAAACTCAAATGTGTACTACATATGTATATATAGCTATATATTTTATCAAAAATGGCATGCAAGATTAATTTGGCACCTATATGGTTAGCTAAAGCTGTGTCTATATTTGACTAAGGGGAAATATATTATATATAATGGTAATAGTATGGGAAATAAAATTCAAATGTGGGGAAGGGAGGGGAATAGTGGTCTTACCCTCTTGGTGGCATGAAGTTCCCTCTTGGAGGGGGTGGAGGCAACATACCCCGGCCACGTGGAGGAGGTGGCATCCCTCTGAAGCCCATAAGCCCTGGTGGTGGTGGTGGAGGAGGAGGGCCACGCCTGTGCGAGCACAGAAGAAAAAAGGTTTAGAAAAAGGGCTAAGAAAATGTTGGCAAGCATGAAAAAAAAATAAGTAGACTCCGAGAACCTTAAAGAGTAGAAATGAGGAGGAGGTGGGGGTGATGGTGGAAAGGGCTCTCCCATGTCTCTTGGAGGAAGTGGTGGTGGCGGCATAAATCCTGGAGGTCGCCCTCTTATTCCGCCACGTCCTCTGGGGTCCATATACGGGTGCATCCGCCCCATTCCACGCCTGCAAGTAAAAATTAGGACCATTACATAAAACTGTAAAATTGCACTATAAAGTATTTCTATGAAATAATGTTTATTATAGAGTATGTAACGGCTAAACAAGCTGTTGCCCGTTTCCACTTAAAGCTGCAGGAAAGCCTCGATTGGCTTCATTGGGAAAAACAGCAAAAATGTTCAGTTATTCAAATGTCATTCCAATACCTATGTGATTAAGGCTGGGCACACACCTTACAACCATTGCAAGACTTTTGTCTTGCGATGGTTGTAAGGTAATTAAAAAAACGTACGATCTGCCTATCTTAGACAGGCAGATCGTACTTGCAATGATCACAAGCCTGCACCTCTGAGGGGCGGGCTTCCGATGACCGCAATGCCGAACGGGCAGTGTGCGCTTGCGCACAACGGCCCATCCGGCTTTTATCTTACGAACATGCTACACACCCGCCGAACATCGTACGATTCTCGGCGGGTTTTCGAACATGTTCCTAAGATAAAAGTCGTGCGACCTTACAGTAGTAGAGGTCGCACAGCTCCCACACATCTTACGATAATCGTACGATCGCGGGATTTCACGCGATTATCGTAAGGTGTGTGGTCTCCACAAAAATCGGTCTTTTTTTGGAGAACAAAAATAACACATTTCCATGTCAACAATACATTTCACAAAACTCCCCAACCAAAGGAATATGCCATTAATGAGTAATAAAACTGGTAATAGGAGCAAATAAATTGATAACCCCAAACCTACGTGCTTCAGCTCCAGTCATACCCAACAAGTTGTGTTTTTAGGTTTTCTTTCAGCATCCACAATCAGCATCAATGACACCTAGGAAGCCCAGATGACATGGTCTCTGGCTACCCAATTATTAGTACAGAGTTTAAAAAAGAAAAAAAAGGAAGAGAATCAGGAGAATCTGAAGACATTGCAGAGAAAAGAAAAAAAAAAAACCAAACACCAAACAAACAGTAACTTTAGCTAAAACTACCTCATTGGTATCATTCCATTCATTGGTTTATCTTGCAGCTTCCCTCGGCCAAAAGGCATCTGTCCTTTCATCCCACGATTCCCTCGTCCAAAGTTGCCTCTGCCACGATTTCCTCGTCCCCTTATAAGATTTCAAAGAACAACAATTTACTTATGCGTAATAATAACCCACTTCTAAGCAGATACAAGCAATCCATATCTAATCCCGGTCACTGTGATATAGAAAAGCCATCTATGATATTGTCAAACTGGCACCTTTAAGTCCAATACTTATAAGTGCAATAGCACAGGAAAGGAGAGGCGTATTTATACCTCCGGTTCTGAAAAGGAAAAACATTTTTAAATAAACATTGCTGGACTTTAATTCAGACTGCATCAATAAACATAAAAGCCAGCTCTAGAAATCCCAGGAGCCAGGTAGCTAATGTATCTAAATAATCATAGTGTGTGTGCTTCTAGAACCCGCTCTATTGTCAACTTAGAACTACCCACTTCCCCATCCATCGGTGCGATATACCCTTCAAAGCTACATAAATGTATCTACATCATTCTTGACACAAGCTTCTGACAGCCTTCCATGTAAGAGAACTGAATGTCTCTGAGGTAAAGCAGTGACGGGGAAAAGGCTACCACCGTATAAAGACATGCATTCCAGTAATCTAGCTGGAAGCTGTACCAAACCAGTTGCACTCCAGTCTGAATGTGTTCATAGTGTGAAGTAGAGTAGGGTCATACTCACTTAAGGTCATCCCAATGCCAAATTCCTTGTGGTACACAATGCATTAGAACACATCCAGATTCTATGAAATGTTTACATTTACAACCAGTAAGCGTACATATATATATATATATATATACACATATAAAAATTCAGACCGAAAATGTTTATTTTAACTTCCTTCCAATTTTCTTTCAGATTTTCTTTTTATTTAATAAACTTTTTGTTTATTTTATTTTTTTATATTTTCATTTTTTACTTTACTTTTAGGGGCTTCGTGGAAATATTAGAGCTCTAAACAGATCTCTGATATTTCCCTTTTAAAATAGAAAAGAGATTGGAGGACACAGAGACCTCAATCTCTTTTTCTGCAGCCCGTTATAAAAGAACAGGAATCCTCCATACTGAGTGTTCCTGTTCATTTATAACATGAGGACAGAGTGTTTACCATAACCACAATCATGAATAAACAGGAGGTGATGTAGATCACTTCCCATTTCGTTCATAATTGAGGATATATAGTAACCATCCTATGTCCTCAATTATGTACAAACACTCAGCGATCACTGTTTGCTGTGTGTTTGTACCCGCTCTCCTCTCTAACACGCTCTCACAGTAGGCCGAGCGAGCGGTGTGGGAGGAGAGCTCAGCCTTCTGTAACAGTGCTGGCTGTTTCCGCCCTCCTCTGATCTGTGACAGGAGGCTAAGCGGTGCGGGGAGGAGAGACGCCGGCCGCTCACAGCACTCTCCTCCCGCAGCGCTCGGCCACCTGCGATAGTTTCTTTCCTCCCCGCTGGGCCACAGAGCAGCGTCCAGGGGGGAGGAGAGAAAGAATAGATGCACAGCTGTATCGACCAGAAAATTGAATTTTCGGCATTATGCCAAAAGTGCCATTTGCAGCCGATCTGTTTCGGCGGCTGATATATCGGTGCATCGATATAGATATATTACACATACACACAGTATAAAGAAGTACATTTGTGAATTCCCGGCTGCATTTCTCCAGTTGTCATTCACAAACATTAGACCTGCCAATTTAAAGTCCTGTAGGGGATATTGCACTATGGGATAGAGCTGGCCATAGGCATCAAACACACAGGTATTTTGGTCAAGCTTCAGCCCTAAAAACAAGACCTAATGTATAGACTCCTCACCTCTTATTGTAGCTCCCACCTGTGACAGTAGCATTTTATGCTCTCCCGCAGCAGCCACATATATAGTTCTCTTCACACACTCCACTCCCTGTGCACACAGTAGCCGCATATACAGTGTTTCAGGAAACTTTAGCCCACGGTCTTTGGCTCCATGGTTTAATGATCACCGCTATGCCGCACAGCAGGTATGCATAACAGCAAACAGCTCCCCCCATTCAGACCTACATTTGATCAGAAAAGCAACGTGCTACACTCTGTGTGCCGCTAACTTTCCTGAACTTCATGACATGTGACAGGGAAGTCATTAGACAGAGCACACAGGAAACTGCTCCCCGCTTCCTGGCAATGTACGCGATGCATTGGTGTGGCCGGGCTCATAAAGAAACCTGAATGGAGAAGATTCAGGGCAGGACATTCTGGTCACCGGAAGACTTTATCCTGTTGCCACATGCACTGTAATATTTCTATCCTGGTCTATAGACAGCCTTGATCAATGCTGTTCGATCAGACTGAGGCAACACCACCTTTAACCAAACCTTCAATACAAGGTGATGGCAAACCGACTAGTTCAGACATTTTGATGCCAATTTTGGAACTGTGATAGCTGTAGAAGAATTGTTCATATACCAACTGCCGATGCAACCTCCATATAAGCACAAAAAAACCCATCATGGCCACCCCAGGAAACAACCAATCATCAATTAGGCCAGAAAACAGAATATGACTGGTAATGAGGTTGTGTTTGTGCCTGCAATGCTGTAGCTCCGTTCCAATAATTGTTACCATTGAATTGGACACCAAAGAATTACAATAATGATGAAGGTCCCAGTAAGAGCACGCTATCCAACGCACCCTGCAGTATCTGACAGCAGCAGCTCTACAACAATGTGAAGAGTTAGCGCTAATTCACACCAGCCCCAGCGCGTTCCAGCCCGATTGGTGCTGGAATGCACGTGATCGCATTTTGGCCGGCTCGCTTTGTTTTGGGGTGTGGCCGTGCATTGAAGTCAATGGCACCGCAGTCACGCCCTCCGGCCGCAGTGTGATCGCCCGCCCCGTAACGCATGGCACATCAATGCCTGCGTTCCGGACCAAAAAAACAGCGCATGCAGCATTTTTTTTCTGACCGCGTCGGACCGGAACACAGGCATTGATGTGCCACACATTCCAGTGCGTGTGATCGCACTGCGGCCGGAGGGCGTGGCTACGGTGCCATTGGCTTTCAATGCACCGCCACGCCCCCTCCTGGCCCAAAACAAAGTGAGCCGGCCGGAATGCGTTCCAGTGCATTCCGGCACCAATCGGGCCAGTGTGAACTAGCCCTGAATCACTTCCGTCGTAAGTACAAAGCCTCTTATTTTACAGGCTGCCTCTAAGGTTTTTTAAAAAGCAGCAGGGTTAATACAAGAACATAAACAATACCTGGGTTTTCGGGGTTCTGTAGCGACATCGAAATTGTCAGCTGGCATCTTTTGATAAGCTCCTGAGAATAAAAAAAAAACAAAAAACAAAGAGAAATATAAATAAATAGTCCAAAGCCTTTGCCAGTGATAAGAGATTTTTAATCTGTGTGACATTGCCTGAAGTATAAAAAGATAATGGTTATTCTTCCCATCACAAACCACCTGAACCAAAACATGAGAACCTTATCTAAAGTTGCATTTCTGTCCCAGTGTTGACCATACACTGAGTGGCCAGATTAATATGACCACCTGATGTTTGCAGGAACATTAGCTATAATTTCGCGCTGAAGTTGCTAGAGGGCCAGACCATTGTAAATAGGGAAGCAGGTTGTTTACCACGACAGTAGAAGTGATTTGTTTCTGAAGATATGGGTAAACAACGCGATTTAACAGCCTTTGAACGTGGGATGATTGTTGGCGCTCGGAGCCATGGAGCGAGTATCAGCAAAACAGCAGAATTCGTTAAATGTTCAAGAGCAGCTGTTCTTAAAGTGTTTAGAGACTGGACTGTCAGCCGAAAATCTGGGTCTGAACGTGCGAATTGTGGCCGTCAGCGACTAGTCAATGTTAGGGCAGAACGGAGAGTGGCAAGACTGGTACAAGACAACAGAAGGGCAACAGTGCAGTATCAGATTCCTCGCATCACCTTTCAACATCTCGTGGAGTCACGAGGCGGCCCAACGAAGTCATCTCGTGGAGTTATCTCGTGGCCCAACAAAGTACTGATGGGGTGGTCATAATAATCTGGCCACTCAGTGTACTGTCATATGTAGCATATAAGGAGCTGATTGTCAACAAGAAAAGAGCAGTAAACTGTAGACTTTTGGAAGACTAGACAAAGCAGAAACTGATTATGGCCAAGTAAAGAAGAAGATCGGTAGAGCTTCATGGGTCGAGGGAGGCAAAGAAGCTGTGTGTGGTAGGGGGTGGGAGAAAGCCAGAGGGGTAACAGATGAGCTTATTGTTGTGTTGATGATGTGGGTGGGGGGAGGTTAGCAAAAGAAAGGACATTTTTGGTTTTATCCCCCCATTTGTGGTACAGATATTGGGCAGGGAGGACATAGCAGCAAAACAGATGTAATGCATGTATGCATATGGTGTTGGTATATTGAGCATCACAAATTACACCAAATGCATATCTACCGTATGGCAATGGGCTGGGTACAAACAGAAATTTACAATTCCACAAAAAAATTCCATAAGGTGTCCAATCTATTAGACAGCGTATGTGCTCTCCAGCTACATTCACTCCCGGTGTTGGTCTCCCCAGTTGTAAAACCGGAACTTGTGTCTATTCTACACATAAAGATTGACGCTCCCGTGTGCAATGAGCAGCTGGTTGGGGTGTAGACCAGCATGTGCTGCGAGCAGCTGGTCGGGGCTCATCACCAACAACCAGGCTAAGCGCTCCAGCATGTAACCACATATGGGAGAAGAACCATCCACTGAAAATGAGAATTCAATTATTTTAATACCACATAGGCTTCAACACAGAATTGTCTGAATATTCCATAGTGCAACTGTGAATGGTCATAATTTCATGCTACGCGAGTCAACGAACATCTTAGGCGCCGACTGTCTTGATATGCAAATTTACTGAAGTCTACTTATAACCATTGTGTTGTAGCCCATCATTGGTGCCCAAATATTTCACAGGATGATATAGTGAAGTCTTGTATTTACTACAAATGTGATGGATCAGACTGGAGGCACAAGACCACATTAGTACAGGAATGCAATCACTGACAAACTGCCCCGGCACTTCCATCATGCTTTGTGCCGTTTAGCTGTTGGATTTGGTCATATGATGCCCACGGGCTTATCAGGATCTTTAATACACAACGAAAATGACACATCAGGGCCTGATTATCACATCAAATCAGCCGTGAAAAGAACAGCTTCGTTTTTTTTGGGGTTTTTTTCCCATTAAACTGGCCAAGATCAAAAAGCAAAAAATAAAAGTGGAGCCGCCCCTAGCGGTAATATTCCAGCTACCGTAGGACAAATTAAAACATAAAAGCTAACACCAGAGACTGTTATGAGCAACACTCACCATCATCCTCTGCAACAGTTTTGCCATCATCTCTCAAAAACTGCCCTGACATAAACAAATAGCAAGACAGCCAGACAACCATCATTTTTAAAGGAGAGCCCCCATCTCCCCATATCTCGTGAGACAAGTTTCTTTAACAAGACCTCAATGACCAATCCAAGGTGGAGAAGCTACCTACACAAGAGGTGGTTGTATCTGAATGTTTTTGGCTCATTGAGGGCCTGTCCACACCATAAACAGTGCGTTCCAGAGTGGTCAGCCTCTGGAACGCAGTGTATCGCAATCGTGCGTTCAGGGGTGCAGCATTTTTGCAGATCGTCCTGGACAGGAACCCAGGCACTAATATGCCACGCGTTCTGGTGCGGGCGATCGCACTGCGGCCACGGGTGCCGTACCATTGACTTCAGCGCACGGCCACACCACCTCCCGCCCCTGAACGCAGAAAACCGTCTAGAATGCGATACTGTGCACTACGGAGGCTGACTGCTCTGGAATGCACTGTTTATGGTGTGAACTGGCCCTGAATGTCTGTAGACTATTCCTGACCTGTGATAACAACCACAAGTGAAAGAATTCATTGAATGTAATAGATTTTTCTGTAGAATTGCTCTTAACCCAATATCAGGCCAGCACCAGAGTGTCTACACACAAGCATGGATGTTAAATCTGTGCAAGCGTGCATGTTTATGTACTTTCTATGGTCAGAACCGCCTTGGGGCAACTACATCTTCATGTCTATGGCATGCCTGAAGACAAAATATAATAAGGATTGAAGAGGGTAGTGGATACTTAACCTCTTGTGCCATTCACTTGTCAGCCCATCTCTTTTGTATTGTGAAAAATGACTAGGCCATCAGAGCTACCTTTGTAGGCCTATGAACTGCTGGGCAATGATTGAGAGAGGTGCTACCCTGAGGGTTGTGAAAACATGCCAGCATGCCCAAAGGCCCTCTAATGGCAGCTCTGCTTTGCAGCACTGAGGTCCTCCGTTCGAATCCTAGCCAGGACGCTATCTGCATGGAGTTCATATGTCCTCCCTGTGGTTGCCTGGGTTTCCTCCCACACGCCAAAGACATGCTAGAAGGTTAATAGGCTCCGGTCTAAATTGGCCCCATTGTGTAAGATAGGGACCTTGGATTGTAAGCTCCTCGAGGGCAGGAACCTTTCTGCTACGCTTTTACTACACCCTGTTGTCTTTCTTTTCTTACTCCCAACTCGTCTACACACCTGGCTTTCCCTGCCTCTTCACTACTCTGACCCTCTTCCCGATATGGATCCTCCAAGGCGGAGGGCTACATTCGGCTCGAGCCCCCCACAGGTGCTCTACTGTGGCTTGCCACCTGATTTAGTGACTCGTTTTGGGGGCGATCTGATGGTCCCTCATCCCTACTCCTAGTGCACTTGTGAGGGGGGACCCTCAGCTCAGGGCTGGAGATTCGACCCGATGTGTGTCTTCATTGACACCTATGTAACAAGCCTGGACATCACCTGATTACTCGCATGTGCCGGGTACCCAGTTGGTGCGCCAGGGTTTGCGAGCGGCTGTGATGTTTCTCCCGAGTTGTATTCTGATGGGGAATTCGGGGCTCCTTACCCCCTTTCCTTGTATTGTTACTTCCTGCTGGGTAATTCCAACAAGTATACTTGTTTTTTTTCCTCTCTGTTTTTTTTTTTGTTTGTTTGTTTGTTGACTTGTACTGTCATTTCTGAAAACTAATAAAATCGGATTACTAATAAAAATTATAATTCTTCGAAATGAAAAAAGGTACTACAACGCACCTCCCGTAGCAGAATTTGTCAGGCTGAAACCGAAAATGACTTTCCACCTTTTATATATTTTTAAAAAAATAATTGTATTGTAAGCACATGACGCTTGTATAGCTTCAGCCTGTGAATGACGGCTGCCAGTGACAAGATTCCGCAGACGGCAGCTGAATGCAGCACTGAGGTCCTCCGTTCCAATCCCAGCCAGGACGGTATCTGCATGGAGTTTATATGTCCTATTACACCAGCCCACTGATTGCTGTGCCCTCCTCCCAGCATGGAGGAGAAAGCTAGGGGATCCAACCAACTAATCGATAATGAGTATAGTTGACAACTGTTCTCATTATAGATTAGATCGGTGTGCCCTGTGGAGAGATTCCCCCTCACCAAGTGAGAAAGTGATGGGAAACCCAAAATTCTGGCATTGTCTGCAGAACAAGAGGTAAGCGAAAATTGTCTAATGGGGACACTTGTTTTAGTGACAGCTGTCTAACAGAGGAGCGTCCCCCTCAGTCCTCATTTCCTCTAACTTCCTGTGGTGTCCCTGGAACAAGAATTGAAAGGAAAACTCCCCAATGGTACCCAGATAGCAAAAGTTAACCTGCCATGGGCATGAACCCGTTCACTACTCTATACTTTTAAAAAAACGCTTTAGATACAGTAGTAATAATAAAAATAATAATCTGTCCCACTGCCTTGTCTATAATCTTAGCAATCTTAAACTATGGTGGCTACAAAAAAAATAAAACCCACACACATCATCCTTAAGTCATACAGAACCAGGGATCCACAATGACGACTTCCTGGTGTCACCACATCCTTCCAGGGGACATACTTGCAGCATCAAAGAGGACCAGGAGGCAGCCAATCACATAGCACCCAGTACATCCATTGATGGATCTGATATTCACTGGTACAGGTTATAGGCTGTTCAATAGATCCCCTCCCGCCCCCCCGAGACACTTTACATGCAGCAGCTCAGTCTCCCTGGAAATTGCTCCAATTCCAATGTGGAGCTTGGGGATGCCCAACAATGGCACACTGTCACGTGACCAGGCGCTAAGACCACGGGAACAGTAATTCTCATCCAAAGATGGCTTCGTCCACCTGCAAAGGGAATTCCTGTCACCGAGACGGTAAACCTACCCCAATGTACCGTTCACAGAACGCACCACAGCCGCCTCTCTCCGTTCTTCTAGCCCAATGACTGAAAATGGCGGCGCCTTCTCGTCAGAGAGACCGCCTGGTGACGTCACTCGGGATCTTTTAGCGCGCGTTGGCTGAGCTCAGGGGGCCGAGCCTCTTGGTTGCCGATTGGCCGAACCGATCAGAGTCCAGCAGGAGGTCAGAAAGCTACGTACAGAGGGCGGAGCCACGGGGCGCCATGATTGAGAGGTTCCGTACACTGATTAAATGGAAAGCAGCGCTTGTTTGATATCAAATTACCTGATGTGACCTGCCGCCTGATGATGATCTGACCTGTCACTACAGGGTGAAAACTGAAATCAGGATTAAGCCTGCCATACACCAGTAGGATTTCGTTAAAAAAAATGTTTTTGGGAACGTTTTTCTAATAGTTAATAGGGTCAGATTGATAATCGATGAACTGTAGTGACCAAATAAAAAAAAGTGAATGAGCAGAATCGAATTTGTTCTCAATTAACAAAATTCTAACAGTGAATGTGGCTCCCCTTTGGGAAACTCTATTCATTCAAAAAAGAATGCTAAGATCAAAAAAATGTCCACAATATTTGTCAAGTCTCTGATAGGATAATGTTCTGTCGATATTAAAAACTTATCGAGTTGTGGGACCGCATGACTTCCGGTTTCCTTAGAAGTAGGAGTTTTGGGCAAGAAATTTGTTGTGCACGAGCGCCATCCGCGGCATTGCCCTATACACATACACCAAAGCAATAAAGTAATATAATGAAGTGGGATCACAGTAATAAAGCACGTTATTTATCTCCGGTGCCCCACTCAATATGGCCGCCGCTTGAGTGGGGCACCGGAGATAAATAACGTGCTTTATTACTGTGATCCGACTTCATTTTATTGCTGTGGTGCATGTGTATAGAGCAACGCCGCAGATGGCGCTCGTGCAGAAGAAGTTTTGTGTGCAAACCTCGTAGTTCTAAGGAAACCGGAAGTAATGCGGTCCCAGAACTCGATAAGTTCGAACTTTCGATTGATCACCAACCTAATGTTCTGACCAGATTTTTCATGTGAACATCCCTGTGACATTCTACCAGTGTATGTCCAGCTTTACTTGTAACAAATAAAATGTTCTATGCTTACCTTTCCAGCGGACCATGTGTTGAAACACGCTGCAAGGCTCCTCCTCGGTCACAGCAATTATTCGGCCCTTTGGATGTGTTGAATACTAGACATGTGCGATTCGTTTCCTTTTCTGGCCAATCAGATGTGTTTTTCGGTTTAATGGGCTCCCATGTTGCCGTAACGAAAATTCGTATTCGGACCCATTCGGATGCATTAAACTGAAAAACATCTGATTGGCCAGATAAGTCACATGTCCGATTCAGTTTTCATTAGAGCTGCAGCTAACGATTATTTTCATAATAGATTAGTTAGCCGATTATTAAGTTCGATTAAACCGGATTAAAAAAAAAAAACGGCTCCAGTGATGGACTACTAGTTTCTATTGAGAGTGCAGTCCATCACGGGAGCAAGCTTGGCGCGGTGGAAGTAAAAAAAAGAGTGTGGTGTGCAATATAGTACATTATACAGCGGCGCAGTGCAGAATACCAGCAGCTATAGAGGAATGTAGCAATAGTACATTATACTATAATGTACTATTGCTGGGATTTGTAGTCCTCTGTAGCTGGCGTGATTCTGCATTGCGCTGTATATAATGTATTATTGCTGGGATTTGTAGTCCTCTATAGCTGGTGACATTCTGCAGTGCAGGCGGGCGTGAGTGGGAAATTTAAATTTTAGCCGACGAATCGACGATGGAAAACGTTGACGTTTTCCATCGTCGATTTTAATCTACTTAATCGAATAATTGTTGCAGCTCTAGTTGCCATGTATGTATACAATACTAAAGCTGAGGCTCCTAGCCCTGAATGGCATTCGGTTCTGGGAGCAATATACAAACTGTATATAGTATTACTAAAGCTGAGGTTCCCAAATGCAATTGGGAGCCATTCGGGTCTAGGAGATTCAGCTTCAGTATTAATATCTGTATATGGTTTTCTGTGTTATTCACAACGAATATTCGTAAACTTATCAGAAACTAACGAAAATTCGGATTTTGTCTGGATCCAAAACAAAACCGAATTGAATTTCAGATCCGAATCCCGAATTCCGAAATAACAAAATATCTGAACCACATTTCACCGCAGCTTACATGTCTATTGAATGCATGCTCTCTCTGCTGCGTGATGTGATTTCTCCCTCATACGTCCTATAGTAATCTCTGAGCTGCTAGGAAAAACCACAGCATGCGGTGGGGGAGCAGGTATTCTACAAACCCGGAAGTGTGGAATACATGCAGAACCAAGTATAGAACCTCTTTTTTACAGGTAATTCTTCTTTTAGTTTTCACCCTCTACTGTTGCAATTTAAAAATAAAACTAAGAAAATAAACGTAGGCAGCTCATCTAATCAGCTCTACTGTGCTATCCATCTACTCAGTGGATAGCACAACTGTCTTGGTCACTGGAGTCCCGGGTTCAAATCCCAGCCAGGACTCTTATCTGCATGGAGTTCTCCCTGTGTCTGTTTCCTTTAAGCCCTCATTCACACAGCTTACTGTCGGCCCGTACAGATCGGTGCGGCGTACACGGCTGTATCGGACCGCTCCCAGGAAGGAAAGGTGCTGCGTGTGATTGTACGCAGCAGCCTGTTCTTCTCTATGTGAGTACGTGGCCGTACGCTCACCTGAACTGCACATCCATACGGGTGCGGGTGTCCGTACTCGTGCGCAGACAGGATGGATCCTGTCTGCATCTGAGCAGGGACACCCGCACCCGTATGGACGTGCAGTTCGGGGGAATACCATGCAGCACCTGTCCTTCCTGGGAGCTGCCCTATACGGTCGTGCATGCAGCACCGATCTGATATGCCGACAGTAAGCTTTGTGAATGAGGCCTTACGCTCCAAAGACATGCTGGTAGGTTTATTTGCTCCGGTCTAAATTGGCCCTAGTATGAGTGTGCGGGTCTAAAAATCCTGACTGCATCCTCCTAGGTAGATCCTGGTAATGCTCCATCCAGTGGCAGCTCCTGTACTCATTTCAAACCTGGAGTAAAAGGAAAAGAAGTAAAGTCTGAAGTGCACCGAAGATCACAACACGGCCATGGTAGTAGGATAGGGGAATCATTCAAATTGTACTTTTAAGTTTCAAGTCCTCCGCTACCTGCACACCATCTCCATCTTTTCTCAAGGAGCTCTCTGCATTGTTCCCGCAAAGAGAACTTTATGAATTTCTACTCTCCCACATTGTATCCCAAGAAGTCTGGCTGTCTCTGCCTCCTTTCTGAATTTAAAACAGCTCAGCATACAAATCAAATTTTCTTTTAGCCCTGGAACATTTCATCCCTTCAGTTTATTGTGGAGACTAAATGTGATCAAGGAAGTTCTCAATCTCCTATCTGCATGTCCCTGTGTGTCCAGCCTTTCAGAAGTTCACAGTTTCAACTGATCTGCCTCCCAATCATAGCTCTCAAGTAGGGTTGCACAGATACCGTTTACAGTACTCGGTACGAGTACACTTACCGATACTTTTGAGCTCCAGGACTAGACTAGAGAAAAATTAAAAAAATTAGGAGGCAGCTGTCATTTGTAAGGAGCACACGGAGCTCCTGGGATTTGTACATCTCTGCTTTAATGTACGATTTTGTTTTTATAAATATAAATAAAGAGATGCACAGATACCAGTTTTGCGAGTACGAGTACTGATACATTTTTGTTTATTGTCATGTGACAGTTTTTCTAAAACAATACAGACTAATGATTTCAGGACAGTGGTGGAGCACCAGAGCCCCGTCCCAGCTGCAACCCTGGTAGTTCTGAAAATGCCAAGTATCGGCACTGGTACTCGAAAAGAATCTGTGCAACCCTAGTCTAAAGGAAGGTCCATGACTAACTCCAGGTCACCATTCTCCTGTTTAAGATCCAGCCATGCCTTTTAATCACAGGCGAGTGAAACACTGTGCACAGCCCTGGTGAGCCCCCACAGAGCCCTGTTGAGACTATACACAGCCCTGGTGAGACCATACACAGTGCTGGTGAGACCATACACAGCCCTGGTGAGACCATACACAGCCCTGGCGAGACCTCGCACAGCCCTGGTGAGACCATACACAGCCCTGGTGAGACAGCACACAGCCCTGGTGAGACAGCACACAGCCCTGGGGAGACAGCACACAGCCCTGGGGAGACAGCACACAGCCCTGGGGAGACCGCACACAGCCCTGGGGAGACAGCACACAGCCCTGGGGAGACCGCACACAGCCCTGGGGAGACCGCACACAGCCCTGGGGAGACCGCACACAGCCCTGGTGAGACCTCGCACAGCCCTGGGGAGACCGTACACAGCCCTGGTGAGACCTCGCACAGCCCTGGGGAGACACTGCACAGCCCTGGGGTGACCGCACACAGCCCTGGGGAGACCGCACACAGCCCTGGGGAGACCGCACACAGCCCTGGAAAGACGCTGCACAACCCTGGTAAGATTGCACAGCCCTGAGGAGACCGCACAGCCCTGGTGAAACTGCCCACAACCCACGGTGAGACCGCACAGCCCTGGTGAGCATCACAGGGTATCTAGCTTTATATGATTCTGCATTGCTGTATAATGCGTTGCAGATGTTTGTAGTCCTCTAGAGCTGATAATATTATTCTGCATTGCTGTATAATGTATTGCTGGGATTTGTAGTCCTCTATAGCTGGTGATATTATTCTGCATTGGTGTATAATGTATTGCTGGGATTTGTAGTCCTCTATAGCTGGTGATATTATTCTGCATTGGTGTATAATGTATTGCTGGGATTTGTAGTCCTCTATAGCTGGTGATATTATTCTGCATTGGTGTATAATGTATTGCTGGGATTTGTAGTCCTCTATAGCTGGTGATATTATTCTGCATTGGTGTATAATGTATTGCTGGGATTTGTAGTCCTCTATAGCTGGTGATATTATTCTGCATTGGTGTATAATGTATTGCTGGGATTTGTAGTCCTCTATAGCTGGTGATATTATTCTGCATTGGTGTATAATGTATTGCTGGG